TATATATATATATATATATATATATGATATTCTATTTCAATATGTAACATCTCCGCTAGCTTCAATAGTACAACTAGTTTTGCTTATCATTATCAAAGTTGATTTATCTCTTCACCTTAAATACATTTTTTTTCATAAATTTGTATAGACCATTAAAAAATTAGATCTTGCATATTGTCTTCTATAATGGTTAGATACGAAATCCAATTTGGTAATACCAATAAATGTTTCGTTAGAGAGAGTGAAGTGGGTATAAAAGTCCCAATAAAAAGCAATTCGAACAATAAATGACAGGTTTTGTACAGATGAGTCATATTACAGTCAGTTTATATCACGGCCATTACAGGAAGACTGCCATTACTGTAGATAACTGACACGCAGTTTGGTGTAATTGCAGCGATACTTAGTCTCTAGCTATGTAGTTACGATAACGCTGTTATGTTATGCCGGGAGGTGCTGAAGCTTACTAATTGAGTGAATCAATAAAACGTGATAAGGGACTGCTCGCAAATTTAATCATTACACAATGCACAAAATAAGCACAAATATATATAAATATAAAAATATCACAAGCTATCAGCTTTATTATCAACTAGATGAAATATTGGACATGTCTTTGAAAACAAACACATTTTCTTAAAATCCATACAAAAGAAACTGTCATTTCGTCTGAAAAGTATCTAATATTACTTTAGGAATTCAGCTTTGTGAACACACCTTTCATTTGACGATGTGTCGATTCTAAACTGTTTACTGTTTATTACACTTAACGCTCTTGTAATAACTTTAGCATAAGTGCAGCTAAGTTTAAAATTCACTTAAAACAGTTAATTTCATGTACTTATTATTACGTACATACTTTTTTTGTTTTCACAATCAATACGAACATATTTATTATTTCTTAGTAAACCAGGCGGATATTCATTTAGTCCATTTGAACATCCAATCGTTTTTTAGTATTGTATTTGTTTCTAATGCACTCCTCTGATACCAACCAGTAAATTCTTACCCAAGGGAGGCATATTTGATCAACTCACTGAAAATAATCAGTATAATAAACATATCGCACTGGAGTCATTTCCATTTTTCACAATATTGTGATGACAAAAGCAGCTTCTACTCGCGTGGACAGTAAATTCGCGGAAGGGCACTGAAAGAATAATGGCAAGAGGCGACGTCTAGTTTTACAGCTGTGTAATGTGAACGTCGCTTGTTATTGCTGTGATGATGACGATATTAATATTTTACAACTTTCGCTCTACGTTTCTCTGCGAGCAAACACAAGGAGCGAGGAAACACACTCAGGGGTAGAACCGTAGTTAGATTATGTACAAACAAACGTATTAATAAATTAAAGAAGAGAGAGAGGGTTTTACAGATAGTGGCAGGTATGTTGGAAGCCTTGAATAGGCTTGAAGAGAATTAAGATTAAATGGTGCTAGATCACAAGGGATCTGGATTAATGAAGAGTTTTTAATTATTAATAATGATCTTGAGTTAACTGTTGAAGTCGCCTCAAGACATTTGGAAAATCCGTGATCATGGAGATACGGACAAAAGACGAGAGAAGGAGACCTATTAGTTGATACTTAGTCTGTTGGACTCGGGAACGTGGTTAAGGCTGGAGCACACTCAATAATTAAATATAGTACAAGTATTAAATACTTTGCATATACATGTTAAAGATTTTCTCCAGAGGTGAAATTGAAGAGAGAATCTGTGACGTAGAGTCCTAATGCATTCTTTGATTGGCCGTACTCTCTGCTGTGAATTGCAATTTCGCCTATTGAAGGCTCATCAGCACAGCTTGGGTCAACAAACCAAAGAAATACCACTAGGCCTTTTATAATGGTGAAGTGTATATAACATCTGGTGAAAAATAAAAAGACATATATGGTCATTAAGCAGTTGGTCCACTGTATAATATTGAATAATGACTTCAACAAAATATAGCATTATTAACATACCAATTTAGGTTATTATATCGTGAAGTAAGACAAACCCCACAGGTATTAAATACTTTATTTGTGAAAACTAGGCTTTTTATCGTCCGACCTTTAAACTACTTAAATATAAACCTTTGATCTAGGAACCATTAAAATATATATAATTGACTAAACGTTGATAACACTAGGCACAAATACCTAAGTGTACATTCAATATAAACACCTACCTACATTTAATCCAGGAAACTATGATAAAATACCAAATCAGCAGACTAGTTGCCCTTAACACCCACAACATAAATTCTAAGCTTTTGTTAGGGTTTGTCTGTTTGTTTGAAGTTAAGCACAAAGCTACACAATGGGCTATCTGTGCTCTGCCTACCACGGGTATCGAAACCCGGTTTTAAGCGTTGTAAGTCCGCAGACATACCGCTGTGCCACTGGGGGGCTTTGTTAGGGCAACATTCCGTATATAAATGAATGGTATACAAAGTTTTTCTCCGCTATGCACAAGTCAACACACATTTCAGAAATGCGTATATTAAGGTTTTCCCGCTGGGCCTTGTAACTCTATAGTAAAATCAGATGTTCTAAAAACTTTTAAAGGAGACATTAAATACGTTTCTCTTTTTAATTAGTTTACGTTCTAGCCCAACTATGATCTTAAGCAGTTTCTTTCACTATATTAGAGTATATTTTCTTAGTTATTTAATCAATATAAACATCTTTTATTAACTTTTTAAGAAGTGACGATGTGATCTGTCGCTCTTTTACATGGTTACTGGTAAACTAACGTAAGTAAACACACTCTCTGGTATAGTAAACAGCCGTCTCTTCGCCATAAATACCTCTCTGAGATGATGAGCAACATTCCCCGGTATAGTAAATACCCATCTCTTCGCCAAACATATCCTTCTATGTGAGAACACTCTTTCTTCCATGACTATTACACCTCAACGTCATTTTTTCGGAAGCACATTTCCATGACATACTTCTCCTTTAGATTTCACACGTTTTCATATTTTGTAATGGTAGTCTGAAATCTTGGCTATTTTCGTACAATCTTACTGTTTGGTATAGGGTAAGTTAAAATGCTTAAACAATTTTCTTGAACGGATACTTCTAGAGGGTTTCAACTGGGCATTGCAGCATCAAATCAAACATGGAAGCTCTGGGAGATTATTATTTAATGTTCAGAGGTATGAGAAGTATATCCAACACCCATAATTATTATTCTTCATTCGATCTTAACCCCGTCTAGATTTGGGTCGGTCGCTCGGGTGTTTAGTATTAGCCAAGAAATTATACACTTTGGTGGCTGGTCCTGAGAGCTACCCAAAAATGTCGAGCATGTCCGGTGACGGAGATTCGGACCAGCGACTTGCATATTGCGAGTCGAGCGCTCTAACCACCAGGTCATATCAGGTCTATCTAACACTCATAATTCATGACAGTATTTCTAACGGTCATGGTTCTGAACAGTATGTTTAATGGTCATAGCTCATGACAGCATATTTAACGGTCATATTCCTGGACGGTCTATCTAAAGGTCATAATTGTTGACAGTATTTCTAACAGTCATGGTTCTGGACAGTATGTTTAATAGTCATAGTTAATGACAGTATATCTAACGGTCACAGTCCTGGACACTATATTTAAAGGTGATAGTTCCTGACAATATTTATTTTTAACGGTCATAGTTCCGAACATTATGTTTAATGATCAAAGTTCTGGACAGTATACTAAACAGTCATAATTCTAAGCAGTATTTCTAAGAGTCATATTTCCGACAGTATGTTTAATGGCCATAGTTCTATACGGTAAATTTTGTAGACAAAAACATTTAGCAGTTATTTCATGGTTTTTACTTTGATCATCTAAAAATCAATCCTATTGTTCGGTTTCTGTTTTTCAACAACGATATGCAGATCTCCTGGATATTGGCAATGCGATCTTCATGGCTACCATGATAGTGAGAACTATGACAGAAGTGTCTCCTTGGACGATGTAATGTTTACTACTGTTCTATCGACAGTTTTTATTTTGGTGCTAATGTTTTCTATGATACCATTTTTCTAAAGTACAGTATATTTCTACAACACCAGTTCCGATCTTCGGAATCTCTCTTAGAATCTTCTTCATCAGCCTCTTACTTCCACAACTTTAGAATCATCATCAAAGAGTTTTATCTCCAGCGAGTTATTTCTCTCACGATATGAACCGATTTTTCTCGGAGTCCTTTAGATAACAATAAACAAGCAGAAACTTGCAGGCAAAAGAGCACGGTGTTGGTTTATCTTCTCAGCGAGTTTCTTATAACAGTGAAACTCACGCAATCTTCTTTGAAACTTCATGTTTCAAAGATCATTTGTAAGGTAATGAATACATTGTAAATCATCCAGGTTGCTAATTCTTTGCTCGGTATACATTTGCGATTTCTATAAGATATCCCTCTAAAACTGTGGTTAAAGTTAACTGCATGATTATCGATCGCACTATTCATAATTGTTTATACCTAGCAAACTAATTCATTTCTTACAATTCTTCTGTTACCCATTCCATAATGAGTTGTTGACAACCTGTGACATAGCAGTTAAGAATCGTTAGGTGTATTTTTTAACTTTTAGATAATCTGTTTTTACGAACTTTTATTTAAACAGACAAGGGTTGTATACATTCAGCAATAATATATGACAGGAAGTAAAAAAAAGGACATAACGAGAAGAATGTACGTAGTTTTAAATTAAGGTAATTTTTAAACTAAACCAAAAAAAAAAAAACTAACATACCTTATCAATCTTCAAACGAACCGACTTATTTTATTTCTTCAAACAATATCAATGTTTTGCCCTAGAGAAACACCTAGTGGGAAAATTTTAATTAACATAAAGTTCGAAACCAGCAGTTGATGAAACAATCTGTAAGATACTTTACTTACTTTTGCCAGACGATTTCACTCAGTCGATGTGAAACTCCTAGTGAGAAAAGTATTAGTTCTATTGTGCTTCAAACCAGAATAAACCGGTATTAAAAATAAACATCACTCATTCTTCATATTTCTATTAAAATATCATTAAATTTGTTTTATAATTAATTGTATAATTTCAGTGTCATCTGATTATTAACCAATGTCGATTTCATAAAATTATTCTTACCTCATTATACACCCACGTTAGCCTTAATTTTCTAAATAGCAGAATCGTGTAATTAATTATTTATTTCAATTAAAACATCATATGGTTATGTTAACTATAAATCGTGTCTGATCTGAAAACACCCCTTCAGAACCAAAGTAGGGAAAAAAAAGTATTGTTAGCAAGAAAGAAGTTCGTGGAAGACCTTGCGGTATTTTCATGATAATTCTAGTAGTAGAAGACAATTCTTTTGATAAGTTACAAAATCGTTCAAACCAAAATTTTATAATAAAATAAATCAATAGGAAACCCAGTAATAGGTAGTGGGCAATTGGGATAAATATTTTCTCTTTCAATTATTACGAGAAGACCTAATCAAAACGTCATGTTGTTGTTCTACAAGTTTGTAAGCACTTTTAGCTCTTAATGTTGGAGTTGTTCTACAAGTCTGTAAGCACTTTTAGCTCTTAATGGTGGAGTTGTTCTACAAGTCTGTAAGCACTTTTAGCTCTTAATGGTGTTGTTGTTTTACAAGTTTATAAGCACTTTTAGCTCTTAGTGTTGGAGCTGTTCTACAAGTCTGTAAGCACTTTTAGCTCTTAGTGTTGGAGCTGTTCTACAAGTCTGTAAGCACTTCTAGCTCTTAATGTTGGAGCTGTTCTACAAGTTTGTAATTACTTTTAGCTCTTAATGTTGGAGTTGTTCTACACGTTTGTAAGCACTTTGAGCTGTTAAACTGCTTTAAAAACAATTTTGATTGAATGATATCTATATCAAATGAAGTTCCGCATGCTAGGTTGTTCATTTGTGTGAGCTCCGTAGACCTTCAATAAATTATTGTTGATTGGTTGATTATTTTATCACGAAAACTGAAGAAAATAATATAGTATGCATAAGGAAATTTTGAACCTTTGTCCACAACTTGAAGAACGATCTGTACAAGTTAACTTATTTCTTAAATCTAAAGTACCTACTTCTACCTAATTAAGTAAACTTTCACTTCTGTAAAATAGAATAAGCCATTGCAGCGGTTTCAAATAAACCGAGTTCAAGTTAATGCTCTTTTTAATAAAAGGGTAAAGACAAACTCAGTACATACCTTAAACAATGTACACATATATATATATATATATATATATATATATATATCTTCTAAATATTTTGTCATAACTTTGGTCACATATTTTTCCCTATTATCTACAAATACATAAATATAAGAAAGATTGTAGCTAACTATTGATATCTAAAGCCATTGCGCTTAAAGTGTATTTGTTTAAAAAAAATTGAAACATATAAACACACACATATACGACTGAGATATGATACGAACGAATGAGTTCTAGAACATTAATTTAATTGTATAAAAAGCTGTAATTATCCCAATAAGGTGTCTTATCTTTGTTAACTTCGAACTCTTGACATTTAGGAGACATTTATTGAAATATTTTTGAGTTCTGTTCAAAGTTGTATTAATATTATTATGCTACAAAGCATTACCTGTGATTCTGGAACATGCTTAAGTGTTCATAGTTATGTTGTTCTTGGAGAAGTCAACCGTAGACTTGAGTTGAAAGATTCTGATGTTATGTGAACATGTCTAATTAAAACACTCTGCTTTCAGGTTGCAGTGGGCGACTTATGTCGCATTCGTTATGTGCTCAACAAGCAGGAAATAAGAAGTTAACTTGACAGGTGTCCTCGTACATGTTATTCAGTAAATTATATCTCTCTAATAACTTTAGGTTTTTCTAAAACAAATTAATTCAATTACTTCTCAGTAACTTAGGTGCAGTTGTATCACTTGTATGATAATTAAAATCAAGCTTTTGCAGTTATAACTTGGCGGATATTAGACCTTCCTTGTCTTGGTAATGGACGCTCTATTTGATTTGTTACGGATCAAGTCGCACCTTGATGGTTATCAATGTTTACCGTGTACACAAGAGAATTAGGTCACCTCATAGCAGGTACCAAATGATTTACGTCCCGCCTCATGAAGTACAGTAGGAGTGACAATAGTTTAACACCAGATAAAGGGTTTATTTGTTGTTAGTCTTGTAGTATAGTTAAGTAAAGCAGTTTCAAACGGCATGAAGGTCAGGAAGACCCTTTGATATTACGGTTGACTTATTAGATCAATCATAAATGGAGAAATTACTTCTTGAATGACGTCTCTATCCTACATGCATTCTATTAGTTTTCCAATATCTATCAATTTCATAATTCGAACTACGGCAATGCCTCCCATCCCCCCTATTAAACGTGTACCCAAATGGAGAGTCACGATATGCAAATTAAGTCTCTAAAGCGTAATTGGCTTTAAGTGATAAAGCTGGAAATAAATTTGGTAATTCTCATTTGAAGATAACAAAAAGACCATTATTAATGAGAAACAATTTTGTTTCAGTAACGTATGTGTTACTTATGAACGAAACAAATTTAGGGCTACAAACATTTAATTAGGACTTCAATATGAGTTTTTTTTTTTGTTTACAGGACAAAGCATTCAGTGTTTCTGAAACTGTGGGGTGCCCCCTCCGTGTGGAGGAGGTGTGAGAAACGTCACGAAAAAGTATTGTCTTTCGTTATTTTTTAGGCTAAGTTTATCATTGTCGTCATTGGCTATATTACGGTTTAAATGAGTTGAACGTGGGGGAGAAGCGCAATAGAGTGAAAAAAAGGGGTGTGCCACCTAAAAAGTTTGAGAAACACTAATTTAATTTACACAGACACCACAAACACACACACATATACATAGTCAAATAAAAAAACTAATTGTAAAGTTTTACATGAATATGAACTACTATAAAACAGGAATATGTTTAACCATAAATTAATTCATTCTTAGATATTTAAAATTATATTTTATTGCTGAGTTTAATATCTCAAGAGATATTCTTGTGATGTTACAATAAAAAATACAAAGAAGATAATGATACAATTACTAAAATAGTAATTACACTGTTCACAAACTGAATGATCCAAAGCTGGGCGTTGTCTTGTTTCTACGCCTCTTGTTATGCTAAAATCAATATAGTTTGAGTCCGTACAGGTATATTACGACAAAACAGGCTTAACGTTGTCTCCAATAGTTATGAAACAAGAACATATAAAAAAAAATACTCACTTGCGTTGAACAGTGAGGCCAAGCGGTTTGAATTAAACACATGCGACCACGATAAAAATGATCAAGTGTGATAATTCTCCGCATGGTGTGCTAACTTGTAAGTTGGATAAACTTGCTAGGGGTGAAGACCAAGAAAACCTGGAACGGCAAGAGGATATAAAAAATAACATTCTATACTTTGATGTCAGTTAGCAAGATCGAAATAATAATTTCCATCAATAAACGAATTTTTTATGCAACTTAAAATACCATGATTTAAATCGGGAGGGTAAACAATATACCACATTTGCTTAAAAATTGCGTAGTTGCATTAATATTTAATGTGGAGTTCTATCAACAGTATTTGAATGTGTACTATAATAATACGATTATTTTCCACGGACAATAGGACATGATTCTTTTGTACAATTCATTTCTAATAAGTTAATTTTTATGTGTTGAAATCTTTTTTGGTAACACATCACTTTAAAACCATGTGTGTTGGAGTATCCATTTGTATTGTGCCCCCCCCCCCCCAGTGGCACAGCGGTATGTCTGCGGACTTACAACGTTAGAATCCAGGTTTCGATACCCTTAATGGGCAGAGCACAGATAGTTCATTGTGTAGCTTTATGCTTAATTACAAACAAACAGACACACCCTTTGTATTGCCTTTTCTGCAAAACGTGTCAGGAAAATAAAAATTCTTGTAATAAGTGTTAGAAATATAGTTTGTCTCAGGAAAACACCTTCTACTATAGGATATTGACATTCTTATGCTATTTTTAAACATTAGTTTAAAAAAAGTGGCTTTTTTTTGGTGGTTAGGGGAGGTTAATATCTCTACCGGATTAGTTATTTTCGCCAAAAGTTTATATATTTAGCGACTAGCGACATCCATCGAGAAAAGTGTTTTTAAAAATTTAACGTGCATAAAAATTCTATCACACATATATACAAAGAGAAGTAACCCCTGTAATGAAGTAGTCTCAACTGCAACAGTATGAATAATTTCAAGTAATTTTGGGAGAGTATAGCTTTATATGAATAAAAATGCATTCAACTCAAGCATTATCCAAACATTACGGTAATTCTGGTTATAAAAAAAAATTGATTAAACTTCACCTGAAGAATTATAATGTTTCTTATTGTTAAGAATATTTTTTAACAGATACTCTAAGTAATAGACTAAGGGAGCATACAAATGTGTCACATGTGATTCTCTGATCTCCCTTAATATAGCAAAATCGTGATTATAGGTGAACTGGTGACGAAGCCTCAGCTATTTATACTGATGTGAGCAAGGTTAGGTACTGTTTAGCTTTAATATCTTTACGGTCGGCGGAAGTGGCATATCCTTGTGTGTTTAGGAGCCATGAAAGTGGTACATCTTTATAAAACTTTCTTGCTGAAGAGCAAATGCGCATTGTTAAATAGAAGCATAACAGACATTTTAATTAGAAGTAATATTAGTATAAACGTTTATATTTAACACTAAGCAAAAGCGTGGTTCTGCATAAACGCGTATTTTAAAAAAAATGTGATTATGCAGAAGCGTTGCATAGTCAAAACACACATCTATTAGGGCTAGCATAATTCAAATTATCTTTCTTGTAAAACTCTTTATTATATTCTTTCTAAAACGAAATAATAACTGAATTGTCCAAACTAAGCATGTTATTATTATTTTTGATCTATTTTCAATATGCTTAGATCACACTTCACATTCTTTGTTCTGAATAAACTCAAAACCTCTCTAATAAGAATATTTTTAAATTATTATTTTTTTAAAAAATAATTTGTAATAACATTTCCAGATTCCATCTTTACACTTATGAACCTCTTTTTAATAAAAGCCAGAAACAATAATAATTTGTTCATAGTGTGTAGTTCATTGTGGCGTAAAGAGGCACGTGACACACCTACAAAGAGGTTTTCCGATAATATTGAATTACAATCGTAAAATACATTTTAAATTACATGTATTTTGAGACTAGGATAGAACTGTCGATGAGTATGTAACATAGCAAGACTTCTGAAACAATGAATCTAATGATTTTTTTTCCATAAAAAAACAAACGAGCTTAAAGAGATTAGGAGTTTTAAACACTGAGTGAAGGGAAGGCGTGGCCTATTGGTTAGAGTACCAGTTTGCTGATTTAAAGGCCCAAAGTTCGAGCCGTGATATGCTGTTGAACGTACTTTCAACTATGAGGGCATTGTAACAATGACATTAAATTCAGATGTTTAGTTAAGGGTAACATAGTAGGCAGCGATTGTTGTTAGCTAGTAGTTATTCCTCTGGTTGGCAATGCCTGAACGTTAAGAGGTTCTGACATGGCTGTTTAGCCCATGTGTTTCCTAAGGTGCCGTTAAGGTTGATAATATCCTGTACCACAGCACTGAGTGGAGTTCCTATTTGGAAAACTTATAAACTTAAATATTATTTTCTTTTTATTGCGATTCATCCGTGTGTTTTAAAGATCGTAACTTCAATAAGTCAAAATCTTTGATTAATTATTTCACTGAAGACAACGCGACCTAACCATTATCAGACATTAAAATAAATTAAAGCTGCCACTCTATAGATTCTTGAAGTAAAGCTTAGAAAGCAAATTGAACTTACAACTGTACGTGATTAACACGGTAAGCTTACTACGACAGTCAACAGCATACACTTTAGTCGATAATTCTTTAAATGGTTCCACTGCTTGTCTCAGTCAGTACACTAGACGAAAATGCTTCAAGCGATACTACATGCTTATCTCTGTCAACAGTCTGGACAATAATGCCTCAAGCAGTACAACATCTCTTCCTCTATCAACAGTCTAGACAATAATGCCTCAAGCAGTACAACATGTCTATCTCTATCAACAGACTAAACAATAATGCCTCAAGCAGTACAACATGTCTATCTCTATCAACAGTCTAGACAATAATGCCTCAAGCAATACAACATGTCAATCTCTATCAACAGTCTAGACAATAATGACTCAAGCAGTACAACATGTCAATCTCTATCAACAGTCTAGACAATAATGCCTCAAGCAATACAACATGTCAATCTCTATCAACAGTCTAGACAATAATGACTCAAGCAGTACAACGTGTCAATCTCTATCAATAGTCTAGACAATAATGACTCAAGCAGTACAACATGTCAATCTCTATCAACAGTCTGTACAATAATGACTCAAGCAGTACAACATGTCAATCTCTATCAACAGTCTAGACGATGAAGATTCAAGAGGTATTTCTTGTTTTTTTTTATCATCAGCCTGAATGATAAAGCTTCAAACAGTACAACACGTTCGTTTTGACCATCAGCCTTCTTGAAAATTTCTCAAGCGGTTCTGGATGTGCACTTCTATTTCAAGTGGCACCGCATTCTTAGCCCAATCAACAGTCTCGATAGTAATGCTTTTATCTGTTCAACACGCTCATCGCTATCAACAGCCTAGACAATAATGCTTCAAGTGGCACCACGTTCTTAGCCCAATCAACAGTCTCGATAGTAATGCTTTTATCTGTTCAACACGCTCATCGCTATCAACAGCCTAGACAATAATGCTTCAAGTGGCACTACATTCTTACCTCTGTCAACAGTCAAGACAAAAAATGACTAAGTAGGTTTTTTACGCTAGCCATTAACAACAATCTAAATAATATTGCTTTAATCAATACCCCGTGGTGGCTCTTGTCAAAATTCGGGATGATTAAGTGTTAGATATCACCTCGTGCTTATTTCTATCAACTTTCTTTACTATAAAGCGTTACTACATACTAGTGCGTATCGACCTATACGATAGAGTTAATACATGTTAGTGAGTACCGGCCTATACGATAAAGCGTTCACACATGCTAGGATTATCGGCCTATACGACAAAGAGTTACTACATGCTATGATTATCGGTCTATACAACAAAAAGTTACTACATGCTAGTGGGTATCGACCAAAACGATAAAGAGTTACTACATGCTATTGGGTATCGGCCTATACAATAAAGCGTTACTACATGCCATGATTATCGGTCTATACAACAAAAAGTTACTACATGCTAGTGGGTATCGACCTATACGATAAAGCGTTACTGATAAGGAATAGTGGCTTATGTACGATAAAGCATTACTACGTGCTAGTGAGTATCTTTCTATACAATAGAGCGTTACTATTTGTTAGGAGTAACGGTCTATACGGTAAAGTGTTACTATATGCTAGGAGTATGGGCTAGTAAATATCGGCGTATATGAAAAAGCGTTATTACTTGATAGAAGTGCCGGCTCATATTGTAAAACGTTATTAATACTGAGTATCGGCCCGTACAATAAAGTGTTACTTTGTTTTAGGCGTATCGGCCTATACAATAAAACGCTACTACTTGTTAAGAGTATCGGCCTATACGATAAAACGTTACTGCGTTTTAAGAGTATCGGCCTATACTATAAAGCGTTACTACGTTTTAGGAGTATCGGTCTATACGATAAAACGTTATTACTTGCTAGGTGTATCGGTCTATACGATAAAGCGTTATTACTTGCTAGGTGTATCGGCCTATACCATAAAGCGTTACTACTTGCTAGGTGTATCGGCCTATACCATAAAACGTTATTACTTGCTAGGTGTACGGTCTGTACGATAAAGCGTTATTACACGCTAGTGAGCATCCGAAGACTACCAAGTATTGATCTTCATAAACATTTCTGGTGGAAGTGATTATTGTTGTTATGCATTCAGTACCTATTCCTCCATTTATGATAAAGAATCAATGTAGAAAGTGACCACGTAGCAAATAATGGGAGAAAAAAAATGGAAAATACTTTGCGCTTTGATTCTAACATATGATGTGAACTATTATTGGACAGCGACTGTGTCGCCAGCACCATTATTTAGATACTACTTATTATAAGTAAAGCTGTTGAAGTGGGCTGTGGATATACCTAAAATAAAAATAATCAAAAGTTACTTTTATTGATTTATTTCATTTTTTGAAATTTCACTAGAATTATTGTTTAATACAGTGTAGATACACATATTACCATTTCTGTGCTAGAAACACCATTATTATCAATTGGAGACTTTCACAACTTCTGTGCTGAAATATAAAGTCACTTGGCGCTCAAAGTTTTCATCAAGATATTTATATCTTTTTTTAA